CACCCCCAAAAGTAAGACAAAAAAATCACTCAAACACGCGTTTTCCAATGGAAAGTGGTGAGCCGAGCTGTGGTGTAATTTTTTCCTAGGGGTTGCTCGGCCCGTCCGCGGGGGTGGGGGTTGCTGCTGGCCGGGCAGCGACGTCGGCAGCGACGCCGACAGCGCCACAGCCAAAACAACAAACCACAATTCACTTACACAACGCCGCAGTCGCCGTTGCAGCGCTGCCGCCGCTCTGCCGGTTTCTCTCAGTGTTTTCACTGTGGTGGCAACTTTTTTGTTGGTTTTATACAATTTTTTTTTTGACTTGAAACCGAACGGGGAAAATTGGCAGGACGAATTTGTCAAGTGCCCTTTTATGGTTAAAATTGTATAAATAATGATTAATAATTTTTTTTATTGTTTAATTAGGCTTAGTTAATTTTTATATTTAATGTAAATACGGGAAAAATATTTTTAGATATAGCAGTTTTTTTTTAATATTAAAAAATTTTTTAGAATATCTACAAGTTTTTTTTTTTTGGGCAAAACAAATTGAGATAAATAAATTTAACGCCTTGTTAATGTTATTATTGTTTTAAATATTTTGTTGTTAACTTTAAAAATTTTAGCATTGTTCCAAAAAGCGTTTTTTTTAATATTTTTCACAGCCTGTAAGTCTTAAATTATTTATGGTACGTTTTTAAATAATTTTTTAAAGTTTCTTAAAATATTCTTCAAAGTATTTTCTTATAAAATCACCAAAAATAATTAAACAAAAAATTGTTTTAAAATATTTAAACCAATTTAAAACATTACAAAATATAATTGAATAGTTAAATATTAATTCAAAATTTTTTAATATATTTTTAAACTCTTGAAAGTATTTAAAACTCAATTCTTAGAACATAAATACCCCAACAACTTCAGGGTATGGCTATGCCTGACGATTGGGAGCCTCTTTTTCTTTCATTTTCTTTTTACGAGAATTTCCCCTGCACCACTGGAATTTCCATGCGGTGCCAACAGAGCTTTCCTCTTTTCCCGCTGCTTTATGTCTTTTTTCTTCGATTCAGTTCTTTAGGCGCTCCTTGGCCTCAGGATCTGTGCTTTAGTGTTGCCTAGTTAGCAGGTGAGTGAAGAGCTCCACGGGTAAAAAGGGAAAGCGAGAGAGAGAGAGAGAGATGAAAGAGAGAGCGGTCTGGGGGGCGGAGCCAAGGTCTCCCTCTCTCTCTCTCTGTGTTTCTTGCGCGATCGCTTAACGCTTGGCTGCCGTTCGCTCTATTAATAAATCAACCCCTCTGTGATCGGATATATATATTCTGTTTTTACCATCTGCTGGCCAACGGTTGGTTACCAACTGAAATAAAAAATAAAAAACTAAAAGAAGAGAGATCCTCCCCCAGCCCCCGAGGTCAGCTGTCTCTTTTCCTCATACTTTGCCTGAAAAAAAAAGGGAGGGATCTTTGGTATAATGCAAATGATTGATATGGTAATTGGGGGATGGAAGGTATTATAAGACCTTTGGTATAGTAGATCACATTTATATGTTCTTTGAATATTCAGCACTTTCTAATAGTTCATGGATCGCAGTTTTTATAAGATGTCAGTTCGAGTTGTGATCGGTAAGCAATATTTTTATATTTATACATGTATTTTTAATATATATTGGGATATCTGGGGTTATTAAGATATCAAAGGTTTCATATATTTTGGGGTTACAATTATTTGAAATTTATTTGGGAAACATGGAAGAAATTCATAAAAAGTATGACAAGGTTTTTAGAATTTTGAAATGTTAACAGTATCTTGAAAATATAACTATATATTTTGATGGATCATTAATAATAACTAGCATAGTAAAAAGATCACAAGGAAACCTTTAAAAAAACTGCCAACCGATCTTAAGCTTAATATTAATCTTAAAACTTGGTTTTGAGTAGTTTTATATTTAAAATTAAACTTAATACTAACTAGCTTTCTATATATTCCCAATCTTTTATTTCAACTAAAATACTTCTCTCTAAGAGTTTTACAATTAATTACAGTTAATTTACTATAAGGCTTTTCTCGACCCGGTCTGTATGTTTAATCCCTTCGCAGTGATCCGGGCTTAGAGCCACACTAAAAAGCGAAATCCCCTGAGTTTTTGGTAAAATCAGGTAGCTGAAAATATCGCGGATGGGCGTATTTTTTGTGTTTGGCCCATAGTTTATGGCCCGTGGCGGCGGCTAATCGGCCAAAATATTTGCGGGGCGTGCTGGTTAATCCGGGCGATTGACTTTCATAAGCAAAGGATTAAGATTGCGCGGTTGCATTACCTGTTCTTGGTCCTAATATACCTGCCCCGAGTGTAGAATATAGTTTTCTGTTTTTCCCTCCTGGCTATATGTTTTTTTTATTTTTGTGGGGAGTGCCTCAAAAATGGCAATAAAAAAGGGTTATTCTTGGCTCCTGTGGAACAGTACAGTTACTACCTGTTAGTCAGTTGGCAACATTTTGTGATTCCACGAGATCGGGAAGGATCTGCGCGTGCTGCGGCGGCTCCTGTCGCTGAAAATTGCCAAGGAATCGCAGCAGGATCCAAAAAAAAAAGCGACAAGCGGCGGCGGTCGCGCTGATTTCCAGGGAATTTCGCCCGCGTCCTTGTCGCACGCTCGCTAACCTGTGAGCGACCTATGTGTCGCTGCAAAAGGACCCCAGGACCCGAGGAACGCAGGACCTAAGGTCCCTCGCAGCAAGAGGCCGCGCGCGTACAATGGCGCAGCGCAGCCAGCGACGACTGAGGCAGCGGCAGCAGCGATTTATTGGAAGTGTGCGTTGGATTTATCCTGCTGAGAGCGGCGCGTTCTCGCGACATTTTGGTTGGTCTTCCTCCTGGCTTCCCTCCTCCAGTCCCCCCCTCCTGGAAAGGGCTCCATGAAAAGGGCAAAAAATAAATAAAAAAAATAGAGGACCCTGTGGCCTCGTTTTTAAGGTTGTTTTGGTGGGCCGCAATTTTTTGGCCTGTCGGGCATTTGATTTGAGAGATGCACTGAGCAAATTAAAGCAAGTAAATGGGTTTGAAATAAAATTTAAAAATATTTAAAAATAATTATAAATAATACTTAAGAAAATAGATAGGGTTTTCTATTTTTTATTTGCTGATTTTCTTTAAAATGTAGTAAATACAATTCTTCCGAGTATCACACTTCCGGATCAGATCAAACCTGATCCAATCAATGATCTGGTTTTAGCAGGCAGTGAAAATGGAAACGAAATTGTAGACTCGAGCGAGGATTGCGCCACAGACAAAAAGCTGGAAGAGAAGGCGCACAAATATTTACATGACTAATCGCAGGATAATCGCCCCGATTAGCATCAGGATTAAAGCGATCCTGGGCAACGAAATTAAGATAGAGCTCGTGTTCCGGACAAAGGGTGTTAGTTGGATCGCAGTTTCCCGATCAGGGATCCCAGGCCAGGGATCAGTGTTGATCGAGTTTCGAGATCGTTTTGAATGGGACAAGTTTTTGGGCGGCATCGATGGAAAACATTGGGTAGGAATATAGCTAGATGGGATCAGTATCGGTGTGCCGTAATATGATCAGCCGGGGATTTCCGATTACCTTGAATAACACACTAATTTTGAGACATTTACACACACAAAGGATTACAACCTACTCTTTTGAAATAAAATAAAGAATGAGCAGCTCTCAGGTTCTGTATGAAATTGATCATTTATCATATTATATGAATTATTTGTTTATATATTTTAAAAGGATCACTTAGAAGGTATCATATATTATAATGCGAGAGTATTTCTTAATTTTAAAGAAAGGGTTGAGATAGTATTACCTATAACACATTTGAAAACTTTTTTTTAAGGAAATTTATATAACCTTTATTTGCTCTTCTTTAAATTCTTATGTTTGACATATGGGGTATATATCTCCTTATTTTTTATAGAGATCATAATATTCCTTAAAAATAAAACAGGATGTATTTCTAAATAATCCTTATAAAGTCAAGAATATATCTCATTCCGGAATAAAATCTAGTCTATAATATGTAGAGCTTGTATAAGATCCCTGATCCTGAATAATCCCTAATAATATTTCGATTTATTCCCCACTTCCAATCGCTGTTGCCAATGATCGCCGTTGTCGTCCTGCACGATCCCTTCGCCGTGGCCTAATTGAGTCCTCATGCCCCGTCGGCAGGACGTCGCCCCCTTGTGGGGCAGAACATTGCTCTCCCTCTCTCGCTCTGGCTAGTCCAGTGGCAGGACCTCTTGTACCTGTGCCAGGACCTACGCCGCCCCCGTCGACACTCTCCCTCCTCCCCCCTGCTGCCAGCGAAACACGCGCCCCGCTGGAATTGGAAATGGAAGGGAGAATGGGAAATGGTAAACCTGGGAAACTGTTGCACGACCGTGCGTTTTCCTTTTGGCGTGCGTGAAGAAGAAAAGAAAAACACACACATTTTCCAGACCGCCCGCTGCCGGCCAGCACTGAAAGAGAGAGAGCTCGGCGGGGGGAGCGAGATAGAGAAAACGAGAGATTTTTCTTTTTGAGTTTTTCCTTTGGTGCAATTTTTTTCAGCGACTTTCCAGCCGGAGAGACAGAGAGCGCCGCCGCGACTCGACTCGACCCTCTCGACTCTCTCTGTCGCGCATTTTTATTTTTCCTTTTTTTTTTTCTTTTCCTCCTCTCCGTTTTCACTGCGCTGTGTATTTCCCTCCCTCCACGAACCGCAATGGAAAAATGGGAAATTTTTCCTGTGGTTGTTGTTGCGGCGGCAATGGTGGTTGCTCGATATACACACATACAGACATACCTGCGCCCCTTGCACCCTTAAAAGTGTGTGCGTGTGTAGGTAGCCAATACCGCCCAGGACAATGCGCGAGAGCGGGATGGCGCTCGATGGAAGCGGGCAAGGTATACAACGGCAGCGGCGACGCCGGCAGCGACGGCCCGGCCAGCAGCGCAGTCCACTTTAAATACTGCCAGCGATCGCAGCAGAGAATCAGTTCACTCAGCGACTTTAGCGTGTCGAGAACGCACACAGCAAATATATATATCGAATCCGAGAAAACCGAAAGAGCCGGAGCAATCCGCCACAAGAAACGTTCGAAAGAGACCCAGAGAAATTTTGAAAAAATACCCAAAATCACAATAATTTTTTTTGAAACACCAACTCACTCTCAGCCGCGTTGAATATTTTTTCCAAGTGCATATATACACTGTAACAAAAGAAAGTGCATTCAAGTGTGTCGTGAAATACAGCCAAGGATTACATTATTCGGATACAGGATGCATCTGCCAGCGGGTCCAACGATGGTGGCCAATAACACACAGGTCCTGGCCGCAGCGGCGGCGGCGGCAGCAGCAGCGGCAGCCATTTCCGCCGGAAATGTCGTTGGCGCTAGCACAGGATCGAGCGCCGCCAGTACACACAACACCTCCGCGAATCCGGCGCACAATACCAGCACACATTCGGCCAGCAGCACGGGTAGCTCCACCCCGGATCTTAGCACCAACAACTCCACCTCCAATTCCAATTCCAACTCAAACTCGAACTCCAACTCCAATGCGAATGCCAAGATGCCCAGCTCGATGACGGACATGTTCGCCAGCCTTCACGAAATGCTCCAGGAATATCACGGCGAACTGGCCCAGACCGGCTCCCCATCGATCCTGTGCAGCGCCCTGCCCAACCACTGGCGATCCAACAAGTCGCTGCCGGGTGCCTTCAAGGTGATCGCTTTGGATGATGTACCAGACGGCACTCTCGTGTCGATCAAGTGCGGCAACGATGAGAATTACTGCGGCGAGCTGAGGAATTGCACCACCACGATGAAGAACCAGGTGGCCAAGTTCAATGATCTACGCTTCGTGGGACGATCCGGCAGGGGCAAGTCCTTTACGCTGACGATCACCATTGCCACGTATCCAGTGCAGATCGCCAGCTACAGCAAGGCCATCAAGGTGACGGTCGACGGGCCGCGGGAGCCAAGAAGTAAGCAAAGTGAGTTTTTTAGTTTCCATTATGTTTTCATTTTGAACCCCAAACCCGAAACCCAAATCCTTAAAAGAAACCTAAAGATACTTCTTATCCTTTTGGATACCCCAACAACAATCCTCTCAAGTTCAAAATCCTCTCCAAGTTCCTCCACATCCTCCCATCCGCTCCCTTTATGATGAAACGCCTTTCTCTCCGAATCGTTCTTTACTAATTTTCCAATTTTCCTTTTTTGCATCTTTCCAGGCTATGGCTATCCTCATCCCGGCGCCTTCAATCCCTTCATGCTGAATCCCGCCTGGCTAGATGCGGCGTATATGACCTATGGGTATGCGGACTACTTCCGTCACCAGGCTGCTGCCCAGGCTCAGGCCCAGGTGCATCATCCAGCGCTGGTCAAGGCCGCTGCCGCCTCTGCCTCCGTTTCCCCGAACTCTCAGAACAATGCGGCGGCCACGCAGTCCTCCTCGGGCGGTGCCGCCAACTCCTCTTCCTCCTCCGTGTCATCTCTGGCTCCCGAATATGCCGCCCATGCCCAGGCGGCGGCAGCAGCAGCAGCAGCGGCAGCCGCGTCAGCGGGTCAGCCGGCGGCCATGATGCCATCGCCACCAGGAGCAGCACCGGCTGCAGCCTATGCCATGCCACAGTTCCCGTTCAATCATGTGGCCAAGGCCACTCCCCATGCCTTCCACCCGTACAATTTTGCCGCAGCGGCGGGTCTTCGGGCTCGCAACGCCGCCCTGCATCCCCACGCTTTGCAAACGACGGAGGCCGCCCAGCCCAGTCCGGCTAGTTCGCGGCCATCCAGCTCCTCACCGACGCAGAGCCACCAGAGCCATGTGCTGCTCAAGCTGAACACCTCCATCGAGACTAGCTCCATTCACGAGCAGTCCGCCTCCGATGCCGACTCCGATGACGAGCAGATCGATGTGGTCAAGTCGGAGTTTGATCTGGACAAGAGCATTGACTCTACGCGCAGCTCGCCGGCGCACCACATTGCTCCGATCACGCCGATCCGCATGCGCTGTGACCTCAAAGCGCCGTCGGCGATGAAGCCGCTCTACCATGAGACCAGCGCCACGGAGGTGCCATCACCGGAGACCACCTGTATACCGGCGGCCACCAAGCTCAAGAGTGCCGCCGTCCAGCAGAAAACCGTGTGGCGTCCCTACTAAGAAAATCTCCTACCCCCCCCCCACACACACCCCTCCCAAAGAAAAGTGATAAAAACTGGAAAAGCGGCGGCGCAGAGCGGCAAGCAAGCAAAAAAAAAAAAAAAAAGATAATTGTGATATAGTGTATTAAGTAAAGACGCCTCCGGCCGGCAAACGGAGCAGCCTCATCAGTGGAAGGATAAGCAGGAAAAGCATCATCATCAGCAGCCGCAGCGGAAACCCCAACCGACAGCGAATAGAAAAAAAGAAAACTCAAACCCCAAGGACTTTGAGCTCCGGCGAAGTTTTATGCTCGATTCATAAAATCGTGCGACGAGTTCGAGCCCAGAAGGAGTCTCCTCCCATTTTTCACAAGATCTTCCCCGGAAAATCTTCAAGAAAGCAAAAGGAAAACACCAAAAAAATAACAACAATTTTAGTTCAATTTCCCAACATTTTATTTTCACAACAAACACACTCTGTATATAGATAACTAGTTGTAACACTCTTTTTTTTTACATATTTTTTTTTGTGGATAATATATGCGAATTTAGCTATTTGTAATTTATAAGTTTAACTAGTCCCTTAAGCGAGAAATCAATTTTTTTGTCTAGCTGTAAGTTTTAGCGCGAAAAGAAAAAAAAACAAAAACAAAACAAAAAATCTTTAACACAAAAAACGAATTTGAAACAAAACCAAATAAAAAACAAAAATCACACACAAAAATTATTTACAAAAAAAAAAAAAACAAGTTGAGATGTTTTTATTTAACAAATCGGGAGTTAGGTTTTGGATACATTTTCTATAACTTTTCAGGTGGAAAAATCATTTACAACTTTTGAGTTTGTTTTGAAATGTTTTTCAAATTAGAAGAAATATTTAAAAAGTTTTAATATTTACTAGAAAAATATTCTTTAAAATTCAGAAAGCAGTTTATTCACTAATGAGTCACCTCTTTTTCATTACTTTATTAATACATTTTATATTTTGGAATATAATATAAAATATATGTTTTTACAAATTATTAACTGAAATTATCTATCGTAAAATCCAAGAACTTTATCTTCATTCTCACAAAATTACCCACGAAAACAAAAAAATAATTAAGAAATTCCGCAATCAATTATCAAAGTGAGCTGGTGGGAAAACCAACCACAAATTATTCGTTTTTTTCCTTCAACTTATCTTTCGAGTATTAACGATAACAACTACTCGTATTTGCGGGGGGAAAATCCAAGTGTCTGCCGGCTTCAGAAGGTGAATCAAAAGTAAGGCCTATCGCTTTATTTATCAATTAAAAAATACAAGTAGAAAGACAAAGAGTGGTAAGCATTGCTCTATTTATTTGAATTATTTATTTTATTTTTAAAAATTTCCTTAACTATTTTGAACAACTAACCAGCTTAACTTTCAAAATCATTCCCCAAGACACATTCTGTTTTGAAATTTAGAGAACCTATCCCTCAATATCGAAGGACATCTGGTGACCGCAGGACATGGACATGGCCAGGCCCAAATTGATGGCAATTAATGCGGATTATTGGTGATTAGGGAACATCGTTGGTTCGGCAGGAGCTCACTTTTCGACAATTGTCGCATTAATTGGCATAACTAACTCGATTTTGTTGCCAGCCAGCCAGCCAGCAAGCACCACCTACACCTCCATAGAGATACGGATACGGAAAGGACACGCCATGTCGTTGAAGTTGGAAAACCGCAGTGAAATTTGTCGAGGCCATTAACCGCACAGTCGTCGTTGAGTGCACTGCCATTGAATTATCTTCTTTTGCTGGTCAACACCTTTGGTCGAATTGTGTGGGTTGTCAAGGTCGTTTCATGCATACATATATGTATCTATGTATGTATGTAGTATATACTATAAAAATATATCTATAGGGGGCCTGGCGACCTTGGCTTTGATTGGCTACGGTCGCCGGAGGGTTTCTTCATGGGTGGGGAATATATTAAAAAAAAAAAAATCTATACATATCCCTAAAACCTCCTGGGGTCAAGGATTTTATATTTAAAATTATATTTAAACAATTGTAGTTTTATAAGGAAATAATCTTGTTTTATAATTTGAGGCATTTGTATATTTCTTGTTAATATTTTTGATTAATTTCTAATTAAAGTTTAAATAAAAAATATGAACAAAGGAATATGTATTTAACAAAACAAATCTATAGACTACACCGACTGTTTCCAATTGGATCTGCCTATATCGAATTTTCAACAATGCGACTTAAATATTTGCTTAAATATTTTCCCAAAAACAAAAAAAAAAAAACAAATAGTTGTAACCGTAATGACTCCTCTCTCAATCGAACCGCATCACTTTTTCAGCAGTCCTCGCCGCCCCCTTTCTCTTATTTATTTATTTCGCTCTTTTTTTTTTGTTCCACTTGCATTTTCGCATTTAATCAATGGAAAATTTACATTTTCACAATGTGTTTTACACTTTTCTCCATGTTTTTCCGCGTTCCGAGTTGTTGGGGCTTTTTGTATTTAAGCCCAAAAGGGGGTGGGGTGGCTTGGATCGGTGGCGCCACTTTTGTTTAAAAATCGGCGCGTGCAAAACTATTTTGGTATTCGCTGGTTGACTGTTGTTTCGTTTCGGTTGATTTTCTTCATGTTTTTGTCGCTTATTTGTTTACCATTAATGTGGAGCTTCATTGTTGATTATTTTTCATCTAGCTGTTGGTGTAGTCGTTGCTGTTCCTGATGCTTTTGATGTTGCTGCTGTGCTAGTCGTTTGATCTTGGCCATTGTGTGGGATGCCAGTGTTAGCAAGGCTCTGGCTACTAGTGTTGCTTAAATTTGAGTTTGATATTTCTTCTTATTCAGAGTCCTTTTTTTATAGTATTTATTAATTTATGGAAATGCCAAGCGTTTGTTGTAAGTCCTTTTGTTGTGAGTAATTCTTTTATATCATTTCCTTTTCGTTATTTTTTGGTTGGTCCATCTGTTGGAGAAGTTGTTGGAATTTTATTGGTGTACATAAGGTGTATATTTATTCTCCAAACTAAATTTGTTTTGATTTATTTTCATTTACTTGTAGTATTTGTTTAGTTTGTTGCAAGTCCTTTTGTTTCTGTCTGTTGGAGAAGTTGTTGGAATTTTATTGGTGAACTTGAGTTGTATACTTGGTGTATCTGTTTAGTTTGTTGTAAGTCCTTTTGTAATCTAATATTAATTCTTTTATATCTTTTCCTTTTCGTAATTTATTGGTTGGTCCATCTGTTGGAGAAGTTGTTGGAATAGGAGTGGTGTACTTTACTTGTATATTTCTTCTCCAAATTATATATATTTTTATTTATTTAGTAATTTACTTGAAGTATCTGTTTAAACAGCATTAAAGTATTTTGGTTTCTTGTTATTTCTATAATTTATGAGAGCTTTTTGATACCTTCGCTCATTTGTTCTTTGTAATTGTTGCTTTAATTGTCGATGCAGATGTTTTTGTTGGCGCTTCTGAGGTTGCTTGTGTGTGATTGCCGGCGGTTTGGCGAGAGCCAGCCGAAAAATGCCTATACCGCGATACAAAGACACACACGGAGCGCACAGATACACCGGGGCGAGATACAAAGATACACGAAACCGCGCCACGCGAAACGAAACGAATCGCCAGCAAAAACAAAACAAAACAAACATCAAGCAGAGGTGGGGGAAAACGAAAATGGTGAAAATGGGGAATGGGGAGTGGGGGGCCCCAAATGGAAAACAGAAAGGCGGAGGAGGGGCCAGCGAAATGAACCGAAAATATAAAAATGGCCAATGCAATGCCAATGGAAAATGGTTGGCCAGAAATTACAAAGAGCCGGGAGGGGGGCGGAAAAAAGTGGGGGGCTTTTCCGAGAGGTGAAAGAACTGTTGTACTGTTGTACCAACAAATTACAAACGAAATGAGGCGAGTTCGTTTGGGTTTTTGTTGTTCTTCTTATTTTTTATTTCTTCTTTTTATTTGTATTTTTTTGTTTTTTATTTTGTACTTGCAAATGGATGAATTGCAATTGCCTTTGAGGGGGGCATACCCTCTAGTCTGAGTCTGATTGACTCTGAAATTACAGGGTATTAACAGTCAGGCTTTCACAGATTTATTAAGAAAAAGCATAGGAGTGTGGGAAGTATAGAAGCCAAGGAAAACGATTAAGATATTTTTAAAAATAAATATTTCAATTTATTATAAATTTAAACTCATTGAAAATACATAATTCTGTAGAAATTTAACTAAAAAAAATGTAGAAAATAATTAAAAAAAGATATTAATCAAGAAACTAAACCCCCAGTTAGGCTAATACAAAGTCGACTCTATATAGGGGCTTTTTGGTCATTTTTGTGCCCTCTTTTTGGTTGATTTTTGCTTAATTTGGTGCTAATGAAATGCGTTTGGTCAGCGCTGATTGCATGTGGCCATGACAGGGGGTTGTAGGAGGCGTAGGAGGTGTAACTGGCTCGTGACCGGACACAAAATCCAAATCCTGGGCCGCAAAATCACAAAATCCAAAGTGTCACGCAAGCAAAGTCAATTGTCTGGGCAAACTTTAAAGGGGGGACAAACATTTTAAAGGTATTACAATTTAAATGCCAATGTTGGCAATTTGTTAGCTGTCACCGCCGCGATATGGATCTGGGGAGCCACTGGGAGAAGAGGAAGTGGGAGTCAGAGTCGGAGGCCTTCGCGGTTAACCCACAACCCCAGGTCGCTCTTTCTGGATTTTTTTTTTGTATTTTTTTCTTTCATTTCGTTCTAATGCGCTTAAAGAAACACGGAAGACAACGGAGCAGGGAAATAAAATTAACTCCAATGAGCCGAGCCCTGCCTGCCCTCCAGGCCAATTAGTTGCTGGTTCGACATAATCCCCAATAGCTGAGATTCCAGTCGGGAATTAAGGTTGGGGGGCACAGACAGAGCCGAGGCAGGAGATAACCATAACATCGATGATTTCGGACCGCGCCACTTAATTTGCTAAATTAAAATGCTGCGCACAAAATAATTCACGCTAATTAAATGTCCTTCAAAGGGAGAAACTGCTGAAAAATGCGAGGAGAGCAAAGAAAGCCGAAGTGCTTATGTTCTTTCTTTGGGGAAATGCCAGGAAAATGTCCTTGAATCATTGTAGTTGTAACTTAAATTGAAGTTGCATTTATCTACAATTTAAAAAAAATTATATTTATTTAATTTAAGTTGTCTAGATTTGTTTTTAATCCCCAACAAACCCTGAAATATTTGTGAATCCCTGAACATGGCCGAGTCCTTTCCCTGGCATTTGTTCAAGTCTTTTGTTCATTGTCAGTGGAGAAGGATTTTGTGCCTGATTGACGGATGGCTGGGATGAAAGGGTTCGCGATTGAGATGGGGATTGATTGTCCTTGTTGACGCTTAACCGCATTTAATTTTATTGAATTTATTAAGTGATTAAAAAGTTGTCAATATCAACGGATCCGCTGGCCTCTGTGTGTTTGCTTTTGTTAGCCACATTGTTACGTCACAACGGTTAAGGCCCTGTCCGCTTTAATCCTTACTGTGGTCGCACGGGCAAAAACAATGACACCCCCGCGGCAATAACAACTGCAACAAAAAAAAAAAAATAATACAATAAAAAAGTAAAGGAGGAGAAATAATAAATAAAAAAAGCAGTGTGTCCACTTTATGGACAATTGTGTAGAGATCGCTTTTTCAATATTTTTCAGCTTTTTGCAGTG